AGAGATGGCAGGAGACAAATCGCTTGATCACTGTCTTCGGTCCACCCTCTCTGGGGCACCTGGTGCTGGCCACTGTCGGCAGACAGGATACTGGGCTAGAAGGACCGTTGGTCTGACCCAGTACGGCCGTTCTTATGTTCTTATGTACTGTCCTCTTCTGTTATCAAGTTTCTATGTATCTTCTAGCAACTGCCACTTTCCTTACCAAAGGAGGCTGCATTTCAGTGGGGGGAGTAATATTGCCTGTACATAATCGGTGTAACTCACTTTGGATTGAAAGGTATTAGGACCAGTGTTCCCTCAAAATTATCCTGCACATGGATGGAAAAATTAATGTCCACCCAGGTATGTGCGGATGTGCACCACCAATAGAAACAAAAATCTTAGCTGCGGGCACTCTACTAATCAGCTCAGCAGCATTTGAATCTCTCCTGAGTAGCCACACAAGTGCACAGCTAACAAGGAACACTGGTTAGGACAGAGTACAGTAGAATTTGCTGTTGTCTTCCATGGATCCAGAATTTCATACTAGAAGGCTATTACAGACATCAGTTTTGTGTTTGTTTTTAAGTAAAAATTCCAATATTGGTAAATGCTTAGCGCTTCGAAACATGTTTTTTAAGGTGCAAAAACTGAAGTAATTCTGCATCTCACCTTTCTAGAGTTGGAGAGAGAGACGTGTGTTTAGTTCTAGGATGTTTCCATGGCTGCTTCATCAGTTACAACATGGAAGGGGAGGTGGAACATTTCTGGCACTAAATAGCCCTTCTAGATGATTTATGATTGCACACAAGCTTTCCCTAACTGAAGGGGATTTTAGGGTTGGCACCTCCTTCCCTGTCTCCATGCCCTGCTAGTTCTGTGTTCAGTGGCCCATGGTTATTAAAATTCTTATCAATACCGGAATTTCTGTGGTGTGAGCTTGTTTTCTGGAATCACAAATGCCTCCTGAAGTGAGCGGCGTAGCCAAAGAACCAGTTTCTGTACTTAGCCATATTTAAAAAAATAAACGTATAGGATTCAATTAATAGTCACATTAAATTACAGTAATTAAATTGTCAGAATTAGAACTGGCCAAGGGAATGAACAAACCCTTTCCTGGTTTGCCCCCGGGGGTTTTGGCGCGGCGTCCTTGAGGACGTTTTGTAAATCAGCAAAGGGCAGTTTTGGCGAGTGGCCATTGCTGAGAAAAATGGGAAAGCATTTGTCATTTTGTAAAGCAAGGTGTCAACATCATCTAGCAGGTAGATGGAACAGAAAAAAAAAGTGACCCGTTTAAATTTGCCTTAGCGGGGCAGCTATTTTTGATCTGCACCAACGTTCTTTGGTAGTACTCAAATTGGAAGGTGCCTTGTTCAAAAGACTGAACTGTGCTTCAGATATCCAACTATTTATTCTGCGGGTTCTGTCTTGTCAGACTTTTCCTGCATCTTCCCCCATCAGATATAGAAAGATTTGGGGGAAGGGGAAATTCCTGAACAACAGAGTTCTTCTGTTGTATTAACTGTGTTTAAACTCCCCCTTTTAAACAAGGTGTATTCCTAGAGGGAAAAGAACCTAATTTCCTTAAGTGCCCACACAAACATTACTGGAATCTCAAGTGTAACGTTATTTTTGTTCCACTAGAATAGCTCTCTTGAGAGCAGATTTGAGGAACTAGCCACTCCTGATACATTGCTAATGACAAACCTGCAAATTCTTGTTCTCACGAGTAAAGATGACTGATATGTGTAAAGCCCTGTACCTGGAATTCACTTATAAAGCCCACTCAGCTAGCCAGTTAAATATCGGAACCTAAAGAGAACTGAGATCTTTTATGTATGCCACCGAACAATAATTACAGTATTTGAGAGCTATAATGTGATATTCTCATTCATTGCTATCCTTCATCCTGTGTAGCAGTTTAAATCGATGTGAGTATAAAATGCTGCCATTCTGATTTGGTTGCATTTTATACCCACTTTGCGCTGGTGCAACATAAGAATTACAAAACTGGGTCAGACCAAAGGTCCAGCTAGCCTAGTATCCTGTCCAAAGCCAAGTGCTTCAAAAGGAATGAAAAGAACAGGCAATCAACATCCCCTGTTGTCCACTCGCAGCTTCTGTCAGTCAGAGATTATGGACACCCAGAAAATGGGGTTGCATCCCTGACCATCTTGGCTAATAGCCATTGATACACCATCATCCATGAAATGATCAAATTCTTTTTTTAAGCCTGTTACCATTTTGGCCTTCACAATATCCCCTGGCAGTGAGTTCCACAGTTTGATTGTGTCATGTGTGAAGAAATATTTCCTTTTGTTTGTTTTTAAACCTGCTGCCTATTAATTTCTTTGGGTGACCCCTGGTTCTTGTGTTGTGAGGGAGTAAGTAACACTTCCTTATTTGCTTTTGCCACACAGTTCATGATTTTACAGATCTCTATCCGATTTCCCCTGTGTTGCCTATCTTTGAAGCTGCAAATTCCCTATCTTTGTAATCTCTCCTCAAATGAAAGCTATTCCATACCTCAAATCATTTTTGTTGCCCTTTTCTGTAACTTTTCCAATTATTTTTTGAGATGCAACCACATCTGTATACAGTATTCAAGATGTGGGTGTACCCTGGTTTTCTGTAGAGGCAAGACTATATTCTCGGTCTTACTCTCTATCCCTTTTTTAATAGTCCTCATAATTTTATAGGTATAGTTGAGATCATGTTGTCCAATTCATTTTGTTGCTCAGTCACCTAGTTTTGTGAGATGCTTTTGAAGCTATTCACCATCTGCTTTGAACTTAACTTTTTTTGAGTAGTTTTGTATCATCTGCAAATGTTGGCACTTTACAGATTACCTCTTTCTTAAGAGCATTTATGAATATGTTGATAGGATTGGTTCCCGTACAGATCTCTGGGGAGCACCACTAGTTACCTCTCTGCATTTTGAAAACTGACCATTTATTCCTACCCCTTTGTTTCCTATCAAACCATGGAAGGACTTTCCCTCTGATCCCGGCTTACTTTGGTTAAGAGCCTTTGTCAGAGGGACCTTGTCAGAGGCTTTTGAAAAATCCAGGTGAACTGTATCCACTGTATAATGGCTGTATATAAAATGCAGCAAATGGTGAATTGCATTGCTCCATTTATATACAAGTATTTCTGAAAAGAGGCCACCATTTCCCAACACCACCATGCCTACCATCTTTCAATGTAATTGATGGTAATGGACTTCGATCCATGAGTATTGGTATAGAATTTTTTTTTCTGATCTCTTCCTTCTCTGAGTTGTGAGTTGCTATTAGAGTGGGATTCAGGCTCTTAGATCTAGCAGTTATTTAAAAATACATCGTTTGATTTGAAAAGATCTGTGTAAATATTAAGCATTTCTGGGTAGTTTATCATTGTGAAATATAAGCATTTGTGTCTAAAAGACAGCCCAAAATGAACAGGTTTAATTTTGAGAACTACATATCTGTAACAACACTTCATAGTTTGCACAGAGCTTTATGTGTAAATAATGGACAAATTAACAAGCTTTACATTTGCAGTCCAGTTTATTTCTGTCGCTTTTATAAAAAGTTAATCTTTTTCTTAATACCGTATGTCCATTACACAACCCAGTGACCCCTTACATCTTGTTTTATATTTGTTGTCTAGATGCAGGATTTGTTCTCAACCCATGCACATGCAGAACTGCTGTTGAGTTCAGCAGTGGTTCTTGGTGTGATAGATTTGCTAACTCTGGCCTGTAATGGAGTTTGATCTTTCTGATAGTTTGTGTGTGTGTAAAATATGTTAGATTAAGAGAACATTAAGGTTGCAAGAAGCACTCAAAAGTCAGGAAATGCCAGCGTTGAGGTTGCTTGTACATCATTGAAACATGTATTATTTTCCGCCCCCCAGCCTCGTTCTCAGAAACAGTTGAGCCATTTTTGCTGAAATCTTCCAAAAAGAGGGGACACATGACATGGAAAATGTCGACCCAAATAGTTATCCTGGCACAGTTAGAAAAAAACAGGAGATGGGCTTATAATGAGACGTGTTAGGCAACTTAAATATATTTTTAAAAGTAGTATCGTACTGTTATCAAATGGGATCATGTAGGGTGAAATTATATGAAACAGCTATGAAATAACTAACACCTGTGATCGTTGGAAGAAATTTGTTACCCCCATTTCCTCCTGCCAGTGCTGGTGTGTTCCCCAGAACATATGTGCTACACTGCTTTAAGTATCTTCCAGAGATGAGATTTCCACCACTTCCTGGGGCAGACTTTGCCACAGATTGATAGGGCATCTTGCATCTTTGCATCTTGCGGAGACACTTATATCTGTGCAAACAAAATGGGTATAATACACTCTTATGATTTGGGAACATTTTAAACATCCTTTGCACTTGCATCGGACAGGTGTGGTTGACTGCAGATGGTACAAACCAATAAAGAATCACATCCCTTTAAATCTAAATGTTCTTTGCCTTACTTTTATCTCCTTAGTCCTCAGTATACCTTTTATGCAATGTTCCCTCTACTCTTTTCTTTCCATGTGCGGATTTTTTCCACCCATGTGCAGAATAATTGCATGCGCCATGAGGCATGTGCGAATGTGCACCACCAGTAGAAATAAAAAAGTCTTAACCGTGGGCGCTCTGCTAATCAACTTGGCGGCATTTGAATTTCTCCCAAGCAGCCGCACAGGCTCCCAGCTTAGAGGGAATGCTGGTTATATCATGCCACAATATCAGGAATGTTCACAGAAATTGTTGTATGCTCTCTCCTTTCTGCTTCCCAATTTAAGAGGGTGGGTTGGTTGGTTGGTTCCTTCTCCTCTTCTCCCTGCACTAATGGTGAGATCCTGCTCCCACTGAAATCCATGGGACTTCTGCCATGACTTCCAGAGTAGGGTTGGGTCTGACCTGAGATACTTTTCTTGTTTTCTCTCTTTAGATGTTGAAAAGAAAAAAAATCTTTAAATTCCATGTGTTGAAAATCCTTTCCCTGATCACCTTTAAATTATTTCCCTCAGGAGGACAACACCCGTGCGGATTCTCCAGAAGAGGATAGAAATGACCCCCACGACATGCCCACACCAGTGGACCAGAGCAATACCGTGACCAGCACCATGACTGTGCAAGAGTATTTTGCCAAGCGCATGGCAAAACGGAAGAAATTCCCAAATGAACCAGAGAGTGACTTAGCAGATCCTCACGTGGCCACAGCTCAAGACTCGGAGTCTTCGCAAGGCCCAAAAAGCAAATCCAAAAAGAAAAAGAAAAGCCACAAAAATGTTGAGGCAGAGACCATGGAGGGCTCTGAAAAACCCAAGGTGAAACCCTCCATAACAGATGGCTCGAGGGGAGAACTGGAGACGCCAGACCCGGAGTACCAACCAGGGAAAAAGAAAAAGAAAGCCAAAGGTCGACGCAGAGGGGAAGACAACAGTTGTGATGGAAACGCTTGTGTTTTCGGAAGGAATGGAAAGGTTTTCCCCACAACTTCCGACAGGGAAAATCTTGAAGAAAACTCTGAGGCAAAGCAAAAGAAACCATATAAGAAAAAACACAAAAAGCAGAAAAAAGAGGCCGCGGAGTCTGTGCATGGAGTGCAGAGAAAAAAGAAGAAACATTCGCCTTAACTCAGCAGTGTCTTGGACTTTGGGATGAGTGAGATGTTGACTATGAAACCTTATGGAAATACTAGCCCAGGGGTGGGCAAAAGCCACTCAATGGGCCAGATCCAGCCTGTGCAACTGTGCTAGGCCCCACCCCCTAGCGCGTTGCCTGGGAGGTGGAGCCTCATGAGCCCTTTCAACTGCTATTTAAAGGGCTCATTCCTTCTCTATTGCCTGGCAGATGTGGGGAAGGCGCGAGCCCTTTAAATAGAAGCAGTTAAATAGACGGGCTTGCCTGTCTCCAGCTCTCAGGCAACGCTAGCGAGCCCTTTTAACTATTTCTATACAAAGAGCTAGTGCCTCCCGGGTGGCTGTGTTGTCTGGCAGCCACAAGCCCTTTAAATCGAAGCAACTGAGAGAGCTCGCAGCTCCGGCCCCACACTAGCCCGTTGCCTGGGAGCCAGGGACATGTGAGCCCTTTCAACGGCTTCTATTTAAAGGGCTTGCGCCTTCTATGCCAGGCTCCGCCTCTTTTAGGGCGGCCGGTGACCACCTCAAAAATGTTTGAAATGCTCAAAAATGTCCGTCCCTGCACTAGCCAGACATCACAGTTCATCCCGCAAGTGGTACGCTGTCTCTAATACCGAAACCTCAGGTTCTTTAAACACAGCTCTAGTTGGTAGGGTGGGAGTACATCGTCCTTGTCCATCGTAGGTGGGCCTGAAGCACGTATTGACTGTTCTACAAACCAGTGCGGTGGGCGAGGTTCATCCCAAGTCCACACAGCATGGGCTCTGTGACAGCCGTGCATACATCTGTGCTTGGATAGTCAGTGGTCAGTCTCCCGCCAGCAAGATCCAAAGGGATATGTGATTCCAGGCTCACTCACACTGGTATCCTTTCCCTGGAGTCCGTCACCACTTGCTAATGAGAGGAAAGAACCTGGCCTAAGCTGTGGTGTAGCAGGACTGTGCGTTATAATAGAAAATACCTATAGATCGTTCCCGCCGCCCCACTCTCCGGCCTCAAAGAAATGTAATGCAGTTGCGTTTTGTGTCCTCCATAGTTTTTCTGCCAACCCAGTTGCCTTCTGTGAGTCTGAGCATGTGCCACATCGCTGTGCCTCACCTTTTCATTGATTTCCTTCTGTAGCTAAAACGAATGTTGCTTCCTCTTAAAATCCCTGCTCTTATTAAAGGATTGTGCCCATGTGTCAGTGCCGGAGAATGGAACACAATCATTCCTTTTGTTCCCTAGCCAGTCGCTAACTGTTGCCAGGTTGGCATTATGTTGTTACAGCGCGACACGAGAATTCTTTTCAGTGGCCTTGTCTGGGTCGCTTAACTTTGACTTTCAGGCCACAGTTTGGGTATTTCTAGTGACCCGGTCCATGTTCAAAATGTCCCACCGAGTGAGCCTTGTAAGAGGCACACGTGATAGCCGAAAAGGTTACACAAGCGTAGCTCCTGGCATGCGCTGTGGGGAGGCATAGTGACCATGTTCAAAATGTTCCACCGAGTGAGCCTTGTAAGAGGCACACGTGATAGACGAAAAGGTTACACAAGCGTAGCTCCTGGCATGCACTGTGGGAAGGCGTTGCCATTTGTACAAGGGAAACCTAATTGAATAGTCTGGGTTAGCTGTTGAAATGGATTTTAAATAATCAGCTGTACCTCCAAAATGGGAGACAGCGAATGTGGGACACATGACTCCTCTGAGGGGCAGTTGCGTACACAGGCGTAGATGCCGAGGAGCGGATCGTAGCACGCTTACTCGGAGGGGTCGCAAGGGATTCTCTGAGTAAGGCTGAGCACTAGCGGGGCCCTAAGAAGCATTTTCCCTTGGACCCTTTTACACAGCACCTGGTTCTGGTTTCATTTATCTCAGGGCAAAGGGGGAGGAACTGCACTGAAGTCAGGGAAGTTGCTCTGGATTTGAGCCAGGGTAGCCGAGCGGAGCTTGGCTTTTAACTCTGGTGTATTACAGAGTTTGACACTGGGCCCAGATCTCTTTGTTTCACCCCTCTAAATCTGCTGGGTCTGACGGATAAAAACTGGGGAGGCCGTGGGGGGCTTCCTGTGCTAGTGGAATGTGATTGAAAGCCCCACGAAGATGCAGGCTAACGGGTAGGAACCTGCAGGCTCTGGCTGTGCTGCAGCCTGGCCCACGAGCGTCGCTTCAGACCAGCTAGCCTTCATCTCAGAGTCTCCAACTCCAGCCCGCAGGCCATCTATGGCCCAAACAGCTCTCACAGCTGCCAGCACTGAGTCCCTGCAGCGGGGGCAGGGAGTGTCCATACCCTTCCCCCAAGCCGACCCCAGCTCAACGCCCTCCCTTCCCCTCATCTCCCTCCACCGAGGGGCGTGACCTCATGGATTGCTGGTGGGCCTAACACAGGGTGGTAGCAAGGGTCAGCCCCCCACCTTCCCTGCCTTCTCCGCAGTGGCAGGGCGGAGCAGGCTGCTGCATCGCTCCACTTCCCCCCTCCCCGCAGCTCCTGCTGCTGTGGTCAGTGGGGGGTCCTGACCCCTGCTGCCAGGCCCACCCTGTACAGGACACCTCTACGCACCGATCCCAGGCCACAGGGATGTGCCGGCAGTGGCACAGAGCTAGCAGCCCGAAACCACTCTAGCTCCACTCCATTGGTGGTGGCGGGGTGTTTTAAATTCCCCAGGGCCAGGAGATGCGCAGGGGGAAGAAGGGAGGGGACACGTGGAGCCCCTCGTCTGGAGCCCTCCAAGAACGGGTGCCTGCTGGTCTGCTAAGAGCATTGTTTGAAACCCCTGGTCTGTGCAGTTGTCAAGCGAACACAACTGCATCCTCTTTGCCCATCGGGACATAGCTATTTCCTACGGTGGAATTACTCCAGATCAGTGGTCCCCATGGTGCCCACCGGGCCATTTCTGTGCGCCCGCCGAGTGATTGGGGCCAGGTGTGCGGTGTGCATGGGCTGTGCCAGCCCCCGTCATGCGGCATATGGGCATCCCTGCCCCTGGGCACGTGGCACAGGAGTGGCGCCGGCCCCTGGGTGTGCGGCGCGTGGGCGCTGCCAGCTCCTGGGCGTGCGGCACAGGAGCGGCGCCAGTGCCAGGCATGCAGCGCATGGGCTGTTCCGGGCGCGTGGCGTATGGGCAGCCCCCCCCCTGGGCGTGTGGCACAGGAGCGGCGCCAGCGCCAGCCCCGGGAGTGCAGCATATGGGTGGCCTTGCCCCCTGGCCTGGGCACAGCCCCGCCCCCAGGCGCCCAGCGTGTGAGTGGCCCCGCCCCCAGGCGCCAGCAGCCCCAAAAGGTTGGGAACTACTGCTCCAGATCGACACCAGTGCAAGAGCAGATTTGGGCCTTCTCTGTATGCCACACTGTACGGTTTGGCTTTTCATCCCTGTCACGTGTCCGCCCCATGGCCACGCCGAAAGGGGCCACAGGGATGCTGCTGTGGCCGGTGCTGCTACGTGGCGTTCTTAAGCAGCGTGTCACTCACACCGTGTGACTGCCAGAGAACTCCAAGTAACCTGCAGCCTGAAGTCAAAAACTGTCATTTTCCCAATGGAAGGTCCGAGCTAAACAGGCTGTGATTTGCCGCGTGGGTGTTCTAAGTGGTGTGAGCTGCTTTTGAGTCGCCAAGCAGAGTGGTGCAGGCAGCGTACTGCTCACAGCGAGGTGGTGAAGCGCTGTTTATTGAGGGCCAAAATCTGAACTTTGGCCTTAATGGTTCACTCTGCATTGGCTGAGTGTTAGTTCCGGCCTTCATCAGGGATGAATTAGAACTCAAAGATGCTAGTACAGGTAGTCCCCGACTTACGAACGCATCGACGTACGATCATCCGCGCTTATGACCAACCTCCCATACAGCCGGTCCCCAACTTACGAACAGCAATCCACGCTTACGAACAGCGCGGTCCCATTTAAATGAATGAGGTCCGATTTACGACAGATCGAGTTACGACCGAGTACTTGGTACGTAACTCGTTCGTAAATCGGGGACTATCTAAATGATTAGACGTTCCCCCCAGAAAAACTTTGATCTTTTGTTTGTCCTCTTTATTAGACGTCACCGAGTTTCTAAATGCTAACTCTTAGGGAGACCCAAAAGGCCAGTTTCCAATCTTCGTCAAAACAACTGTAAAAACAGGAGTAATTTCTTTGAACAGCGATCCACGCTTACGAACAGCGCGGTCCCATTTAAATGAAAGGTCTGACTTACGAACAGATCGAGTTATGACCGAGTACTTGGTACGTAACGCGTTCGTAAATCGGGGACTATCTGTAAATGATTAGACGTTCCCCCCAGAAAAACTTTGATCTTTTGTTTGTCCTCTTTATTAGACGTCACCGAGTTTCTAAATGCTAACTCTTAGGGAGACCCAAAAGGCCAGACTCCAATCTTCGTCAAAACAACTGTAAAAACAGGAGTAATTTCTTTTAAGGCAATGGATTCATTGCAGTTAAATATAATGTAACTGAGATTAAAATCTGGCCAAAAGATTCTCTACTTGAGCAGGAAGAAGTGTAAATTTCACACTAACCCAGGAAGTGTGTGCAATTTTACATTCTACAAATTGAACCTCTCTAATCCAGAACTCTCATCTGAAAACCGTCATCCGGAATGATTTGTTAGCCAGATGTCCACTTTTTATGGGTGTGGCCAAGTTACCTGCCATCCCATGAAGTTTTACAACCACCAGTCCTGACTCTCAGTGTTCTGTGCTGTTATTTAGCTCTAATTCATCCCTAACTGTCTTCTAACAGCCTAGTAAGCAGTGCTTGTCTTGGCAATGCTGTTAGACAATATTGACCTTCGTGATCTGGAAAATTCTCACGTTCGGAATTGATCAGGTTCCGAGACTGCTGGACTAGAGAGGTTGAACCTGTCGAAAGTCCTTCAATACTGGGTTGTCATAAAGGGGACTATTTCTTTCCAAATGAAGAAACTGGAGAAAGCCGTTCCTTTTGTCATGGTTCTCTTTGTATTTCAGGCACTCAACTTTTTGAGCTTTTTCAAAAATCCCGTCCTAGCGTATATTGTCTAGAGAAAGGGATGCTTGAACAAACAAGGACAAGCTTAGGTTCACATTTTGTTTTTAAAGGGACACAGCTGGGGCTGATTTTTCCCAAAATTGTGTGTGTGTTGGGGGGGGTCCAAAAGAAACATAGAAAATCTAAGAAAAGGAGTGATAGTCTGGTGTAGCTGAAACAAAATACAGGACTATGTAGCACTTTAAAGACTAACAAGATGGTTTATTAGATGATGAGCTTTCGTGGGCCAGACCCACTTCCTCAGATCAAATAATGGAAGAAAATAGTCACAACCATATATACCAAAGGATACAATTTAAAAAAATGAACACATATGAAAAGGACAAATCACATTTCAGAACAGGAGGTTCATATGTGTTCATTTTTTAAAATTGTATCCTTTGGTATATATGGTTGTGACTATTTTCTTCCACTATTTGATCTGAGGAAATGGGTCTGGCCCACGAGAGCTCATCATCTAATAAACCATCTTGTTAGTCTTTAAAGTGCTCCATAGTCCTGTATTTTGTTTAAGAAAAGGAGGAGTGTCAACATTTCCGTAGCGTGATGACTGGGGCAATAGAAACGTAAGTAGAGAGGTGATGGTTTCACTTAATTTATTTTTCTGGAAACAAGGACTTTCCTACAATTAAACATCCCCAGGCTGTATTTATGGCCCCCAAATAACATTGTCGTGTTGAGCGAGGCCACCAGAAAGTGACATAAGGAAGACTGGGGTGGGGAGGTTAACCTATGAAACCTTATGAAAAAGTCTCCTCTCACTGGCCTTCAGCTTTGCGGTTTGCTGTTTTTGTAATTAACTGCTGGTGCAAATGCTGCGAGCACTTCCTTACACCTCAAAGTTCATGGTTTCCAGGTGCAACTGGTTGGCTGACAACATAGATCCAGGATAGTATCCCAACGAAGTCCATGGGGCTTAATGGGAGTGCAGAATTCTGCTCCTGGCTGCAGGATTGGGCTGGTGTGTCTGGGTGGAGTTGGACTTCGAGAAGCAGACTCTACTTTGCAGGACACCATTTTGGGCTTGCTGCCAACTGCTGGCATGTATGTTGCATGCTGGGGTCCCAGTCTTGGTTGGGGCCGTTAGGTGTTTCTATAAAACAAAGGACAAACAGTTTAGGGCTTGATCCAAAACCCATTGAAGCTGATAGGACTTCGACTTCAGTGGGCTTTTTTTCAGTTTTTTAATCCCAAGAATTGCGGCCTGATCTTGTTTGCATGGGACTTCAGACTAAGTATATTTAATTGTACTTACTAAATCACCGTTGAAATATCTTATAGTGGTCTTCCTGCAACAAAACCATGGCTCTGCCCTTCTCCCGGCTACTTAGAGGAACCACACCAGAATCAAGGAGGCAGTTATTAGATTGTGGTGATGGCTTTCCAGATTGCTCCTGATTCCACTGGTAGGGCACAGTGAAAGGTACCTTTTCTCATTGCCTTGATGTAGCTCAGAAAGTTATATCATAGAATCAGAGAACACTAGAAGTGGGAAAATTATGTCATAGAATCAGAGAACACTAGAAGTGGAAGGGACCTCGAGAGGTCATCAAGTCCAGCCCCCTGCCCACACGGCAGAACCAAGCACTGTCTAGATCAGTGTTTCTTAAACTTTTTCAGACCACAGAACACCAAACAATCATATTTTTTTATGCAGAACACCTATGAAAATTTTCTTCACAAAAAAAATTCTCACACAAAAAGACAAAAACAAACAGGAGGTCGTGGCACACCTGCGAGTTGTTCACCAAACACCAGTGTACTGCGGAACGTAGTTTAATAAACATTGGTCTAGAACATCCCTGATAGATATTTGTCCAACCTGCTCTTAAATATCTCCAGTAATGGAGATTCCACAACCTCCCTCGGCAATTTATTCCAGTGTTTGACCACCCTGACAGGCGGGAAGTTTTTCCTAATGTCCAACCTAAACCTCCCTTGCTGCAGTTTAAGCCCATTGCTTCTTGTCCTGTCAGAGGCCAAGGAGAACAATTTTTCTCCCTCCTCATAACATCCTTTTAGATTCTTGAAAACCTCTATCATGTCCCCTCTCAGTCTTCTCCTTTCCAAACTAAACAAGCCCGATTTTTTCAATCTTCCCTCATAGCTCGTTCTCTAGACCTTTAATCATTTTTGTTGCTCTTTTTTGGACCCTCTCCCAATTTCTCCACCTCTTTCTTGAAATGTAGTGCCCAGAACTGGACAGAATACTCCAACTGAGTCCTAATCAGTGCAGGGCCGGCTTAACTGCTGTTTAATCAGAGTGCGGGATGGAATTGATCTTACAAAGGCGATCCATGTCCCACAACAATCAGAGATCTCGTGTTTTCCTTTATTATGTACACTGGAGAGGCCTCTGAATGGTGGTAGACACACAGAGGAACTTCCAGTCCCTGTTTGTGGAAGAAATTCCCAGGCTTGACGGTATTTATTCTTGTGCATTAGCATAGCACTTAGGAGTTGCTGTTGTAGGCCAGAACCCCACTGTGCAAACCTAGATCTATCTGCTTATATGACTACAGCCCTACCAATTGCATGGCTGTGTAGAAGGTGTCACTGGCCATGAAATAAGCCCTAGCCTGTGAAATCTGTTATTCCCAGGCGGGGGCTCCTAGCTACTAGTCTGTGCTGACCTTCCCCTGCACAGCCACTCTCGGGCTGTGCGGGGATATCAGCCCCACCACCCTACACAGCACAGAAGTGAGGGGGATTAGACCATCCCTTCTGCTTTGCAGCAGCCCCAGAGCTGGGCTGTGCCCTCTCCCCCCACAACTGCTCAGAGCTGGCCTTGCAGCTTCAGCCCCCGGTGGCTTCTGCTGGAGCTCTGGGCGCCTGCTCCTTGCAGCTGCTGTCAGGACTTAGGGCTCCTTAGCTCAGGGCTTCAACCCCTGTGGCTCCTCTGAGGGGCTCAGAGCTAACACTTCCCGTGGCTGCTGCCAAGGTTTGGGGCTTCTGCCCCCCCATAGTTCCTGCCTGGTCCCAGGGTGCCCATTTTTCTGAGGTGCCCAAATTGGCTGAGGTTCCTGGTCACAGTTAACCTGTCACTGAGCAGGACTAGCAGCAAGGAGTCCGCTGGCTGGGGCAAAGGGGGGGCTCCCAGCAGCAAGGGGGAGATCGGACCCACCTCCAGCAGCCTGCAGCGTCAGGAAGGCAGCACAGAAGTTAGGTGGCAGTCCCACCAGCCCCTTGTGGGTTGGGCCCCATAGTTACAACCCCCTGAAATTACAGGTGGCTAGGTGAAACTGACTAATTTTCAAATCCTGTGGACGTGAAATTGACCAGAATGGCTGTGGCTTTGGTAGGTCTCTAATAATAAAAATATGTTTGTGGTAGTTTCTCTGGCTTATCTTTGGACTTAGCGAGAACGCTCCTGCCTTTTTTGCAGTGTTGGGGTGCAGAAAGCAGGCACGTGTCCCAGGCCCTGCACTTGATTTCAGCCAGAGAGGGATCTGTCAAGCAAGAGGTGAGTCCCTGCAGATAAAAACAGACGTATTTTGGCTGCACCCCCCTACCTTCTTGTGCATGGAGGAGTGAGATGGCATCTCAAAAGAACCCTGGCCAGCCGCACCTCACCCCTGTAACACGCCCAGCTCTAGGCTGCAGGGCCGGAGGGTTGTCGGTTTGAAAGGCAAGTACTGAGTTGTCTTTGACATTAGAATCACAGAATCCCAGGGCTGGAAGAGACCTCAGGAGCCATCGAGTCCAGCCCCCTGCCCAAAGCAGGACCAGCCCAACTCACTCATCCCAGCCAGGGCTTTATCCAGCCGGGTTGACTTGACTTGGATCCCTTTTGCTACAATTCGCTTTCCTCTCCTGGAAGCTGCGGGCTTAACGGTAGAACGTCAGCATCGAATATTGTATCCCATCGATGCTCCATCTAGCCCCCTGTCCTGTCTTGTGGGAGTGGCCAATGCAGGCGGCTTCAGAGGGAATGAACAACAGGGAAATGTATCACCTGGGCCCATCCTCTGTTGGCCCGTCCCTGCATCTGGCAGTGGGACGTTAGCAGAGAAGAGTTTGCATCCCTGGCCATCTCAGCTAATAACCTATGATGGACCTATCCCCCAGGAACTTATCCGGCTCTGTTTTGAATCCTGTTATAATTTTGGCCTTCGCCCCATCCGCTAGTGCCAGGAGCCCTGCAGGCTGACCACATAGCGTGATGGAGAATGTCCTTATCTTCACTTTCAACCCCACACATTGAATTACATAAGAACGGCCGTACTGGGTCAGACCAAAGGTCCATCTCGCCCAGTATCCTGTCTGCCGACAGTGGCCAGCACCAGGGGCCCCAGAGAGGGTGGACTGAAGACAATGATCAAGCAATTTGTCTCCTGCCATCCCTCTCCAGCCTCTGACAGACAGAGGCCAAGGACACCATTTTATCCCCTGGCTAAGCCTTTTATGGACCTAACCTCCATGAAATTATCTAGCTTCTCTTTAAACTCTATTATAGTCCTAGCCTTCACAGCCTCCTCTGGCAAGGAGTTCCACAGGTTGACAACATGCTGTGTGAAGAAGAACTTTCTTTTATTCGTTTTAAACCTGCTCCCCATTAATTTCATTTGGTGTCCTCTAGTTCTTCTATTTAGGGAACTAATAAATAACTTTTTGAGTGACCTCCCTGGTTCTCGTGTTACCTGACAGGACAAATAAGCTTTTCTCTGCGCTATCTCTGATTGCCTGCATCCCTGTCCTATCCCTCCCAGTGCTCACTTTTCTAAACTGACTAGTCCCAGTCTTCTAAATCTCCCCTGGTGGCAATGGCATCCCCCGAACTATGGTTGATGCCCATCATGACTGGTAGCAATTCTAACATCTCTTGTTAAGGTGAGGTGGCCAGGAGTGGTACTCAAGCTGTGTAAACAGTTTTTCAAGTATCTAAAAGAGTGTTATAAGGAGGAAGGAGAAAAATGGTTCATCTTGGCCTGAGGACAGGACAGGAAGCAATGGGCTTAAACTGCAGCAAGGGAGGTTTAGGTTGGACATTAGGAAAAACTTCCTACGTGTCAGGGTGGTTAAAAACTGGAATAAGTTGTCTAGGGAGGTTGTGGAATCTCCATCTCCAGAGATATTTCAGAGCAGGTGGGACAGACACCTGTCAGGGATGGTCAGACGGTGCTTGGTCCCACCATGAGGGCAGGGGACTGGACTTGATGACCCCTCGAGGTCCCTCCCAGTTCTAGTGTTCTATGAACCAGTGGTTTGACATAGCAGCATCCAGATATTTTGTCTCATCCCTTTCCTAAGGCTCCCTGATCACTGCCTATATACAAAGTGAAGCGTCTTGTATCAAGATGTAAAAACGGCCAGACTGGGTCAGACCAAAGGTCCCTCTAGCCCAGGGTCGGGTCTGCCCACAGTGGCCGGGGCCAGGTGCCCCAGAGGGAGTGAACAGAACAAGGGAACCCTCACAGACAGGGACACCATGCCCAGCCTGGCTGGGAAGTATTGCTGGAGCTAACCTCCATGCATGTCTCGACCTCTGTAGCAGCTGCAGTGTGCAAACGGCCGCCGTGGTGCCCTGTTTGCTGCCGCCTGAGAAGCGACACGCTTGCCCTGTTGGGGTAAATGAGACCGGGGCACAGTGGACCTGGCATCCGACTGGGACCCGGAGTTGCACACCTGGGATCCTCCCGGAGGTCCCCGCTGCTCCGCTTGGCCCACCCGCGGGTGCTGGGACTATCCCTTTCCTCCAGGGGGTTAGTTACGGGGATTTAAACAGCGGCCTGGCCCTCAGGAAAGCGCCTTGCGCCTGCTGCGTGGTCGGGTCACCCTCTAAGGTGGAATCCGCTTCCCTGGCCCGTGTGAACGCTTCCGCGGGGAGGGGGGCTGAATGCGGAGGGGGGGCGCTCCGGCTGAGGCCGGGGAGCATCCTCGGGCGAGGTTTCTCCGGCGTCCCCCCCCCCAGGCGTCCTCAGGACGCGAACCGACTCCAGCTGAAACTCCGAGGTGCGTTCCCAGAGAGCGGCGCCTGGCCCCTGTC